CCAGTTAAATGACCGCTCCATAAGTTTCTTATTATAAGATACACATTTTGTTGAAGTGCATTCATTGAAATCAGAATTGATTTTCATCAAGAGTTTTCGAGTTTAAAAATTTATATGCTTCTCTTTCTGTAGAGAATTTCTAATAAAAGTTGTTCAAGAAGGAAGATTTTTTAAAAGTTAAGTGTTTAACACTGAAACTACCAAACCAGTTAAATGACCGCTCCATAAGTTTCTTATTATAAGGTGCACACTTTATTGAAGTGCATTCATTGAAATTAGAATTGATTTTCATCAAGAGTTTTCGAGTTTAAAAAGCATGCTTCTCTTTCTGTAGAGAATTTCTAATAAAAGTTGTTCAAGAAGGAAGATTTTTTAAAAGTTAAGTGTTTAACACTGAAACTACCAAACCAGTTAAATGACCGCTCCATAAGTTTCTTACTATAAGGTGCACACTTTATTGAAGTGCATTCCTTGAAATCAGCATAGATTTTCATCAAGATAAATAATAAATGTGAGTGCTACTTTATGTTTTGTCGTTTGTATATTTATTCTTTAACTTTATTTTCAATTTCAAAGTAAGTGTCGGTAGGTTTAGCGTTAATCGTACCAGTGTTCAGTGTTCGTGTGTGTTCTAAAATCTAAAGTGATCAGATACTGTTTTCCGAAGCAAAATCACAGAAGTGTCGAAATCCGTAACGCCACAATCTACCCTCTTCCGTAGATTTCCCCTCATGCAGGCGTGCGTGTGTGTTCGAGACTCGTCGATCCCTCGTTGGCAACCCCTTTCCCTCGCTACCTTAGCTCCTTGTTCTTTGGCGATGTTCGCGAGCCGCACGGCGCGCTCGTTAACGTATTCATGGGTTTATGGGACAATTAACCCTTTGAGGGACAGTATAATTACAGAAGCGATTAAACATCTTAACGTATAAACACGCCGGGCTCCAGCGACGTTAGGGTACACGTATACGAAACTCGATGTGGCAGCCAGCCGGATAGGCAGGCAGACCGTTACCAATTAACATACTAATGACACGAGCTGCTTTTCGAGAGTCACTGTAACCAGCTGGCCTGCAAAGCTTCCTGTACACTCTGATGCAACGTTGGCTGCAAGGTGTACGAAAAAGTTCTCGCTAGATTCTTATTATCTAAGGACACTCGGTTAGAGCATCTGGTCCTATGACAGCCATTTGTACTTTTGGATCTTTTACCAAACCTGTTGAAGATCTTTAAAATAGCTATATTTTTGAGAGCTAGATATGAGTATGAAGTATAGGTTGAAAGTAAGTTTTAATCCGGAAGGGAAGTGAAAAATAAGGTTAACGATGGTCAGAGATGTACGTTTTTTTCGACGGGAGCTTACATTGCAGCGGAGTGTACAGAAACCGGTACACGAACGAGGAAAGAGCGTAAACACGTATCGAGAACTCGGCTTACAATTATTTGTGATTAGGGATCACGCGATCGAGACGTTTGCAGGACGTTCGTTAAAGTAATTGAACCTTTTTCACCCCGTCTCGTCGTTTCGATGTCTCGACCCGTCGATAACGAACAACCGAAATACTCTCTCGATTTCGCGTCAGCCGGCTAATGGGGTTCGGTTAACTTCGATGGAACAGAGACGCGTTAACGTCTCCTACATACGCGTGTGTTAGTGGTGTCGACCAGGAGGGGGTTTGTTTTTACGCCGTTCGTTCAGCCAACAGAGATTTTAATAGTTTTTTAAAGAGGAGAAAAGGAACTCGTTTCTCTGATTGGATTGAAGCGTATCTCGCGCAAGCTCCCGTAACGACTTTCCTAATTACGCCATCCATTAATTTTAATTGACCCGGTTTTTCTTTCGGAAACGCCGATACCTGCCGAGTGGAATTCGATTTAAAAAATTGTGTGCATCGCCGACACGCGCGCTACGTGTGAAACTCCGATATTTATTGTCGACCGGCATGCGGGGATTTGGAAATTTCGAGGATTTGGGGATTGAGAGATTTCGGAGTACCGATCATTTCGGAATTCACGGATTTAAAGATTTGGAAAACTTTATTCAAAGTCTTGCAAATTTTACTAATTGGCAAATTGGGAATCTAAGAACTGATATTAAAAATTCGAAGATTAAACAAATTTAGTAATTGGTACCTCGACGTTCAAGAATTTAGGAATAAAAAAATTGAGTAAATCAGTGGTTTGGAGATACAGGAATCTTGATCGCGATAATATCGCAAACTGGTTTGATGGCGGACATCGTCGAACACTTTTAACGCAGCGTACCGTGGTTAACAATACGGTGAAGCACTCTGTCATTTTGTTTACCGCGAATGAATTTGATTATCGGTTAATCTCAGCCGGGCCAAAATGGTGGGCTCCGAAAATCATGGAAAATCTAGCCGGACAATACCGCTTTACCAGTGTCATTGTGAAACCTTTATCGCGTTCTGCGACAGAGAACACACGCGCGACTGTTGCATGCCGTACGTGCGCGCTGCCGTACGAAATGCTTTTGATTTAATTAGCTAATTATAACGTTCATTTAATTAATATAATTGGACCGGTTAGTGGGCGTGGGTGCAGCTTTTACGCTGTGACGGCGGTGACTATTTTGCCGCGTTGCATTTAATAACGCCCATTAACGAACATTTACATTAGCGGTAATTATCGCAGTCGCCGCGTATCGACCAACCGATTGGAATATTTTCACTCGCGCCTGGCTAGGGGCAGTTCCATCTAATATTACTCGTCATCGTTCAAACATATTTTACATCAAAAAATTTGACAATTGATTCTTCTATTATCCTGCTCACCTTTCTAAACTTATGGAACGTTAATTGCATTTTTAACCACAATTGACGTGTACATATTTCCATTGACGTGTAAAGTTTCTGAGTATTCGCAACGTATTTTAACTTTCGGCAAGATTTGATGCGGTAGTAAAATCGTATTAGTACGCTGCTGATCAAGAAGATCGCAACGGCACTGTCAGATCAGACGCAGTAGATAGTGTCAGCAGATCAGACTCAGTAGATAGTGTCAGTAGATCAGACTCAGTAGATAGCGACAACAAACTTAATACGATCTTGAGTCGTTTACTGTCACGTATGCTCGAAATCCAAACCTAATAATAGCTAATCAGGTTCTCAAATGAAGATCAAAATAGAAAAGCTTTAATTCAAGACATTTTGTATAAATTACTCCCAAGGAATAAATCAGTGTTCTGAACAATTGTTACAGTGGTCTGAGCAATTAGTAGGGATATCTAGAGAAGGTAATAGTGGTAGAGTAGAAAAACAAAAGTGCGCATGGTGAGATTAAGTCCTCAGAAGGGTTAATCGCGTTTGGATAAGTGCGATGAGTAATCAGGCTTTGGAAGACGCCCTAAGAAAAGTGCGATTGATAAAGATGACTAACGTATGTATGTATACAGACAGGTTGATAGGAGAGGAGGTTGACGCGACACGCGCCGAGCGGGCACCCGCGCCTGCGTACAAGCACGCGTGACGTGCCACTGACGTCGCAGTATGGAGCGACGAGTGGCGGCCGAAGGACGAGAACCGACGACGAGACGAGTCGTGGCCGTGTGTGTCGAAGCAAAGTCTAGCCGAGAGTGCGCCGAGCGGTTGGCGGTCCCGCGTATCGTCGCGTTCCTCTTCATTCCGAAGTGAGCCGCCGTTGCGAGCAAACCGGCAGCCCGAGCTGCTCTTGGTCGTCGCTGCTGAACCCCTGGCAGCGGCGCGCACCGGCAATAACGCACCGTCCTGCTGCCACCCACGCGAAACCGCGTGCCTTTCGCACCCTGCACGCGACACCGCGGCGTGACTTGGCGGCACGCGTGCACGCTCGATCGATCGATATCGCGCGACAAGTGACTCCGAGTGTTGGATATATCTCGTTTTGTCTGCCCTCCTCCCAGCCAGTGTGATTTCATGAGTGCCGAAAATCACCGCCGGTTTAACTGGAGGATCCCTGCTAGATGTACACCTCGAGTTTAAGGATTTTCCAACCTCCTGCAGTGAGTAATACTACTTTATGCGTTAATCAGATTCCTCGACGGATAAATCGTTTACGGTATCAGTTGATATTACGTGGACGCCGGTTTGTCGATAGCCTTTCTTCCGCCATCGCGTGGTCGCCGATCGGTCCCGATACGGGACGTTTTAATTAACGTTAGAACGATCTTTTTATTCCATCGGCTTCCGTCGTGTCACGGAATGACATCGACGATTTTTCTCTTGTCGTTCGCAATCGAACATTCCGTACCAGTCATTTCGCCGGATGACGCGTTGTTTACGTCTCGCAGGTACGTTAACGCAGCGGGAGCTCGCGTTTATTTTGCTTTTCTACGATTGGACCGCCGATTTATCGCCACTACCGACACGCTTCGGGGATTCATGTATTTCTTCGTTTTACTGAGGTTACGTTTAACTGCACATCGAACGGGATATCGAACCATTATCACTCTTATTTAACCTAAATCATTTTATACCTAACAGTAACTCATTTTATACATAATACGTGATTATCGAGTCCGTTGACCTGATGCCACTATCGCCGATCTGACACCAATGTCGCCGATCTGACATCAATGTCGATCAGATGTCAACGTTGACGTTTACTGTCCTTCCACGAAGACTTTCTTAAACAGAAGAGGCGCGAAGCTCGCGCGCTTTCCGAACAAATCCGCGCTACGGTTTCGAGCATCACGCATGGTAGTTTAGAATCCGGTCGCGGTATAAATCGGGCATTATCGGACAATCCGTGTATAGCATTCAGCGGCCGAATGAAATGGTAGCCGCACGGCGTACATTTACGTTTGAATGGCCAAATGAAATTTCCGTGCGGTGTCTGCCAGGCAAGAAAGCGGCGGTTGTTTGCGAGAGCACCGCGCCGGTGGCGGCCCTCGCAACGCTTGCCACCATCGACCCCCGCCACGTTCGCCGTGGCATTAATTGGGTGGAGCTTTAATTGCCTTAGCGCGACCGACCGCCGAAGCTGGAGCGAGAAAGGGGGTTGGAAGGTCGCGCCAACGTTTACCAAACCGGCACCAATTTCTTCCACGATTACGATTACCGGATTAGCCCACCAATTTCTTTTTTGTTTATCGAAGCTCTAGTAAATATCTTGGACGGTAGATAATTCTTACATCTGGGGGTATATTCGATCGATCGGGACAATTATTCTGTATGAATCTCGTTAGAGAGTTAAACGATTTAGTCTACAAAATTATGTAGATATCAAAATGTTATGACCTAGGAAGATTACGTATCTTCATATGTGGTCACCTACTGATATGTGAAAAGGTTGAATTCAACAGAAATGATACGTGAGTACCAAAAATTTCTATCAGTACAATACACCCTCATGTAGAGGCCATGAACAATCAAGCTTAAGAAAAATCAATGTAGCAATCCATATACATGCTGGCTATGTATGACATAACGCTGTGGTATAACAGAAATTAAACGTGGCTAGAAATAATTAGTAAATCGCTTCTCTATCTTGTTATTAAAGTGACCCCCCTTCGCCCGCCTTTATGTCACCTTTTCTATATCTGATATTTCCGGCGAATCTCACCCTCGAATCACGGAGACCAACCCCTAAATGAAATCCTGGAATTAAAGCCGTATATTAACCTCGCGGCGTCCCCTAAATTAAAAAACAACATTTTTACGATGTCAGGGTGGGAGTCGGGAGTAGAGAGGCTGTCGAAGAATGGGAATCGGCTCGCGGCACCGCGAAAATTTCTCTCTTCCATCGTTTTCCCCCGATAAGATCGTGGCCTACCGTAGTCCTTGTTCTACATAGGCTGCCTATACTCTCCGCGCAGACAAGGTTACCGAACTTCGACCGCAATTCTATTGTCCGTAAATTGCGTTTTTAAATTCGTCGGGCGTCGTGGCACGTGGCGAGAACGCGCGAGCTTCCGTAACCTGCGGCGGAGCAGACTTTGGAAACGCAACCCCTACTCGGTGTTCGTTTACACTGTTGTGTACTTTTCGATCAATTTTTTCTATTCTGCCATGTATTCTATATTTATTAAACCTTTCAAGGTTTTTGAGAAACATTTTTGAAATCTAAGAATGAATAACTATAAATTTAATTCAGAAATTGCACTGTTGTACGAGTTTGTTTGACATTTCAAACGTGAAATGAAAAATTGTACTTGTAACAAGAAATGTCTCTGCCAAGATAAAGTATGTAGTTAATGTTTATGTTTCTCGAAATGCAAGAAATAATTGTGCGTGAGGTGAAAAATGGGTAGGTGTAAAAAAAAATTTGGAAAAGTTGAGAGTTCGAAAAAGGAGATAAGACGAAAGATGTGACCACGAGTGGTATAGAGATGCGTAAACCGTCGAGATTACCATGGAAATCCAGATCAGTCGCTTTGCATACTTTGGAAATACGTCCACGGGATCGGGTAAGGGTGTATAATGGAAGTTGAAATTGGTTGAGCCTGTCCCGTCTGGGCAAGCTATACCCTGTATACGAGGTATCGAGGGAAACGCATTCCTTGCCGAAATTGCTTCGCACTCGATTCAACGGAAAACACACGCGAGGCTTCGAGTTCGGGGTTACGTTTTCGCGCGTCAAAAAATATATATATGCTCGTGGGCCAGCACACGTACGCGAACAGGGGCGCACACACACAGGGGTGCGGCGATGTGTACGCGCGCATCCACCACTCTTCTGGCTTCTCCTCGGCTTAACTTCCTCTGTCTCACACTCGTAAAGCGTTGATTAAAACCCACCCGCGCAACGTGGATGGACGGAGAGGGATGGAAAGAAGGAAGGAGGAAAAGAGAGGGCGTCGAGGGGGGTTGGAGCGGTGGAGGGTTGAAAGCGGAGGAAGTTTGGGTGGCCTCGCGCGCGTGTACGCGTAAGTGGGTGCGTGAAGCGGTTGTATGGGTGCGTATATGCAATTGTACGGCTGCCTATACTCTCCGCGCAGACAAGGTTACCGAACTTCGACCGCAATTCTATTGTCCGTAAATTGCGTTTTTAAATTCGTCGGGCGTCGTGGCACGTGGCGAGAACGCGCGAGCTTCCGTAACCTGCGGCGGAGCAGACTTTGGAAACGCAACCCCTACTCGGTGTTCGTTTACACTGTTGTGTACTTTTCGATCAATTTTTTCTATTCTGCCATGTATTCTATATTTATTAAACCTTTCAAGGTTTTTGAGAAACATTTTTGAAATCTAAGAATGAATAACTATAAATTTAATTCAGAAATTGCACTGTTGTACGAGTTTGTTTGACATTTCAAACGTGAAATGAAAAATTGTACTTGTAACAAGAAATGTCTCTGCCAAGATAAAGTATGTAGTTAATGTTTATGTTTCTCGAAATGCAAGAAATAATTGTGCGTGAGGTGAAAAATGGGTAGGTGTAAAAAAAAATTTGGAAAAGTTGAGAGTTCGAAAAAGGAGATAAGACGAAAGATGTGACCACGAGTGGTATAGAGATGCGTAAACCGTCGAGATTACCATGGAAATCCAGATCAGTCGCTTTGCATACTTTGGAAATACGTCCACGGGATCGGGTAAGGGTGTATAATGGAAGTTGAAATTGGTTGAGCCTGTCCCGTCTGGGCAAGCTATACCCTGTATACGAGGTATCGAGGGAAACGCATTCCTTGCCGAAATTGCTTCGCACTCGATTCAACGGAAAACACACGCGAGGCTTCGAGTTCGGGGTTACGTTTTCGCGCGTCAAAAAATATATATATGCTCGTGGGCCAGCACACGTACGCGAACAGGGGCGCACACACACAGGGGTGCGGCGATGTGTACGCGCGCATCCACCACTCTTCTGGCTTCTCCTCGGCTTAACTTCCTCTGTCTCACACTCGTAAAGCGTTGATTAAAACCCACCCGCGCAACGTGGATGGACGGAGAGGGATGGAAAGAAGGAAGGAGGAAAAGAGAGGGCGTCGAGGGGGGTTGGAGCGGTGGAGGGTTGAAAGCGGAGGAAGTTTGGGTGGCCTCGCGCGCGTGTACGCGTAAGTGGGTGCGTGAAGCGGTTGTATGGGTGCGTATATGCAATTGTACGAGCGAGCGGGCGCGCGCGTGCCCGCACGCAGGCGCAGCTGAACCGTCGCGGCCGACGACGGTGAGCAGAAACGAGGGAAGAGGGAAAACGTAGGAGACCAGGAGGCGAAGAAGGAGAAGAGGCAGGGAGAAGGTGGTGGATATAACCGAACGGGGGTTGAGGGCGAAAGAGAGAGAGCATGGAGGGTAGGGGAGGTCCAAGGCGTTGCTTGCTTAATTACTAAAAGCTAATCAATTCCGGAGGAAGTAAAGTTTAAATTGCAAACTAAAGTATAGCTAGCTCCCGGACGTAACGCTGCAAAGCGATATTACCGCTCGCTGCATTCTGCAATTAGCCCGTGGTAAATCATTGAAAACAAATTATGGGCGGAACCCGCGGACGGTTGTTGGCCCTCTTCCCGCTTCAACCACGCTCTTTGCCATCGTAATCTTCTTCGTATCTGGAAAAACGGTGGAATTTTATTGGAAGCGATCGTGTTAATGAGCTTAATTTCTCGACTATCAAAAGTCCAGAGAATGTCATTCGTTTATCTGGGAATTTATAAATTCCAAAACTTGTGAATACGTCTGATGCTTAGGAATAGAAAGTGTGGCGGTCGATTTGAAAAAAAACAAGGACTTTCGAATCGAAGGCAGAAAGGAGAACGGAACGAGGTATACAGCCCTGAAAACAAGCAATAAAATCAATGTCGTTTCCGGCGATTCAATTCGCAAGACACATCGCACAATTTCACATACAATTTTACGGCAGAACGGCCAGGACTCCTATTTACTTCACGGCCGTCCTTTCCCACCCCCCAATAACCGTTTACCGTCTTACCCTCTCTCGCGCTCCGTCGGTCTTTCTTTGAGCGGCAGTTTTCTTTATCTTAAATTCTCGGGGAAAAGCACGGCCACGCGATCCCGTCGAACGAGATCGACGAGATCCTTTCGAACAAATCGTGTTCGGTTAACAGTTCGAAAA